ATGTGGAAAGGTGAATTAGTCAAAAAGCCAATCCATTCTTTTGTCAAAATAATAGGGAGAGTATTAATTAAGGCAGAGTGGACTTTCTTATACAATACATATAATGAAACACATCAAGAAAGAAAATATACTTAATTATGGACTATTCTGCACAATATAATAAGGAGCAAAACCAAGCAACAAAATCATACCAAGTCAAATATACTATAGCTCTTTGAAATAAAGTGTATGAACAATATGCTTCCAGTGTTCAAGAAACTTAATCAAAGAAGGCCCGAAACTTACAAGACTAACAGATGTGTCATATGTAAGAAAAAGAAAGAAAATGTAGAATACTTGGTAAGCTGCGAGCAATCTTTAAACTTACTTTATACTTTAGAGGAGCAAGTAGTAGAAGCAATCTTGCATGATTTAAAAAATATAGAGAGCTTGGAGGAAATTAAAGAAGAAGTTCTAACAATGCTAGAAAAAGGATCCCAAGTTGATGAAAAGAAAGATGGATTAGAAGCTTGATCACAAAAAAGACTTCAAAGAGTTGAGATCTCTTTTTGACTCAAACACCAAACAAAGTGATTTATAGGAAGTCTCTGGAAGAATTAGATGAAAGAAGTATATAAGAGAATTTGGGTTCCAAGATACAAATTAGTACAGAAATGGGAGAAGAAAAATGGAATTGCACCAAAAGATAAAAGAAGATTTCATGAAAAGACAAGAAAGAAAAAAAAGAAAAAGAAAGAACCACCAGATAGGCATATTATTAGAAAAATGAAAAATGAAAATAAGAGTAAAAGGTGGCTGTCAGTTTTAGAAATAACCAAGAAAGAGGTGATGAGGTGGATTGTAGAAGGTCAACGTTCAGATTGGTGAAAAACTAATATATAGTCTTGACAGGCGATAAGAACTAGCTGTTGATGTATTATCAAAGCCAATTGCAGAATAAGGTAATACAGAGGCAATTCTTACTATAGCAAGTCACACATAGGTACTCAATGAGCAATTGGGTGATTCTTTATTTGTAATTTAGGTACTGGGAAGAATAACTCTTCAGAAAATTTTAATAGTTTAGATAATTATTACAAAGCCTAATAAAGTGAAGACAAGACTACCGAATTTAATAAAAAAAAAAATTAATCAAAATTCTAAGCTTGTAACTTTTCTTTACTACATTATAATTATTATTTGCCACGAAAATTGCCACAAAAAAATTATTAGTACATGAGGTGAATCAATTTTTAAATTACTAATGTTTTAGGGAATTATTTTTTATACCTCTCTAATTTATTAACCATACCTCTCTGCAAATTTACATTTTTTTAAAACTTTGAGTGAAGATATCATGACAACCACCAAGCCAATTTTGACAAATCATTTTTCTTTGCATTCTACAGATTCGTAGAATTCAAATAAAAAAAGTTCATTGAATTTGGCCCAGTAGTTGCTGAGATATTATCACTCAAAGTTTGAAAAAAATCAAAATGTCTATTAAAACAAACAATACAAATTTTTTTTAAACTTTGAGCGATGATATCTCAGCAACCACTGGGCCAAATTCGATGAATTTTTTTTATTTGAATTCTACAAATTTGTAGAATGCAAAGAAAAAAATTTGTCAAAATTGACTTGGTGGTTGTTGTGATATCTTTGCTCAAAGTTTTAAAAAAAGCCAAAACATATATCAAAATCAAAGTGCACCAAAATTTTCTCAAAGTTTGAGCAAGGATATCTTGACAATCACCAAGTTAATTTCGATGAATTTTTTTTTATTTAAATTTTACAAAGCTGTAGAATGCAATTAAAAAAACATTCATCGAAATTGGCTTGGTGGTTGTCAAGATATCTTCATTCAAAGTTTTAAAAAAACCTCAAAACATATATCAAAACAAAAGCTGCGCCAAACTTTTTCTCAAACTTTGCATGAAGATATCTCAACAACCACCAAGTCAAATTCGATAAATTTTTTTTATTTGTATTCTACAGATTCGTAGAATTCAAATAAAAAAAAATTCATTGAAATTGGCTTGGTAATTGTTGAGATATTCTTACTCAAACTTTGAGAAAATTTTGGCGCAGCTTTTGTTTTGATATGTTTTGTTTTTTTAAAACTTTGAGCGAAGATATCATGACAACCACCAAGCCAATTTCAGCGAATCTTTTTTTCTTTGCATTCTAAAGATTCATAAAATTCAAATAAAAAAATTTATCGAATTTGGCCCAGTGGTTGCAGAGATATCTTCGCTCAAAGTTTAAAAAAAATTTGTATTGTTTGTTTTGATAGACGTTTTGATTTTTTTCAAACTTTAAGCAATGATATCTCAGCAACTAATAGGCCAAATTCGATGAATTTTTTTTTATTCGAATTCTACGAATCTGTAGAATGCAAAGAAAAAACGATTCATTAAAATTGGCTTGGTCGTTATCGTGATATCTTCGCTCAAAGTTTTAAAAAATGTAAATCTGCAAAGGGTATAGTTAATAAATTAGGGGGGTATAAAAAATAATTTCCATGTTTTAATAGTAATTTATCGATTTTGCTGATCTATGTATAAAATCTGTACTATTGATTTTTACTATAATACCTTATATATGTTTGATTAATTAGTATATGAAATACCCTAGTTCTTCAGGTATCTAAAGCCTGGGCAGACCAGGTTGCTGGCTGGAAGTAAGGAAGAGACCAATAAAGAATCCAAGTAAGAAGACGGTCTAATTGCAGATATCAGGGTTGTTGTGAACCTAATAAGGGCAGAAATAGATAATTGCAGAAGTTCAATAGTTAGCCCTGACTCCAAGTGTATAAGTAAAGCTTTGGTGTAGGTTGCTAAAATCTAGATGGATATATGTGTAGGACATGTAATATCTAGCAAAATAGGAATATCCCACTATCCAATGATCCGGAGGCACCCGGAGTCAGGGTAAGCAAACTTCATGATATGTGTTGATCAATAGTGAGGTAAATAGGAGTTATAACGATTATACCGGGCTAAAAGGTTTGGTACGTCTTACTCAAAGTTGGTTTACGGAGATTCAGAAACTGTAACATCGCAGGGGGAGGGACCTGGGATATCTGCTGTTTTTGATGACTAATTAGGAAGGTTATAGCTTGAGATACAGACTGTGTTATAGCAGCATCTCAAAAAAGTAGCTCGAAATATGAACTTAGTGATGGCAGCATAATATATACTAATAGGTTAGAGATTACCAATGATGTACTGAATTTCTGTTGTAAAATAATGTGTTGTATTATGCATCCACAATAATGAGTAATAAAGAGGCAGTGTTGTTAAAAAAAAAATAAAAATAAAATAACTAAGAAAGAATAATATAGTTTACAAAGTGAAGAGGATAATATAAAGAAAAGATTAGATAAAATTAATAATTGTATATATGAGCAAGAATTAGAACAAAGTTCTAAAGGTCATGTTTTGAGTTTTTTGTATGATCAAAAAGAAAAATTTTTGCTAAGATTAAAGAGAATAAGAATATTACAATAAGCAGAAAGTTTTGGTAAAATTGATAGTAGTAAAAGTATAGCAAAGAATAGTTAGAATATAAAATTTATAAAAGTTAGAAAAAAAAGAATGTTTAAGAGTAAAAATAGAAGAGAAATTAATTTGTTTGTTGTTTAGTTATATAATAAGTTAGTTTGATTGTTAAATTTTATAAAATTTAAAATAAAGTGAAGTTGTTATTGAAAATGAGAAAAAGGTATTTGAAGATTTAATAAATATAGTTTAAGAAAAAAGAAAAAGTTTAATGAACAAAGTTTAAGAAGAAAGAAAGAGTGAATTAGAGATTTTAGATTTGGCAAAAAAAGGTCTATATTAATTGTTGGGATTAGAAGTTTTTTGAAAATATATTTTATAGCTTGTGGAAGATAAAATTGATAGTATTCGGAAAAAATTAAAGAGATTGGATGAGTAAAAAATTGTATAATATTAAAATAAGCTATAATATTAGTGAAATAGTAAGGGTTTATAAAAAATAAAAAGTATATTGTAATGTATTTTTGAGATTAAGATTAGTTATATTATTATTTGTAGCAGCTTGCTTAAGAAATTTTTGAAAATAAAAATAAAAAAAAAAGTTTTATATTTAAAATTGGTTACAGTATTGTTAAGTTGTATAAATTGTTACTTAGCTTGATATGCTAGTTCTTTAAGAGATTTGAAAGGAAATAGTTTAAAGGTAGAGTATATATATATCATTTATTATATAATATGCATTGTCAATCTTTTTTGTATAACAGTTTATATAGTAAACACAACTCTGATTAGATAATTACCTGTTTTAGGGGTTGTCTAAAGCTATGTACCCATGTGATTAATTATATAGATTAATAATTACAATGTGATTATTGAAAATTCAAATCATTTTATAACTTTTGGTGACAATATCTCTGCAACTACCCAACAAAATTTGATACATTTTTTTTATTTTAATTCTACATATATATAGAATTAAAATAAAAAAATTATCCCTTAATTTGTATTGCAGGCAAATTTGCCTGCAAACTTTTAATTTTTTTAATAAAATTTTAAATATTAATTTTAGCTATATATTTTCTAGGGCTTTATTTTTTAGTGACCCGTCGCCATGGCGACCTCATGATCGACCAATCAAAATTGATCACGTGAATTACATAATTTTTTTATTAAAAAATTAAGTTTTTTTTTTTTTTTAAAAAAAAATACAAATACATAAAAAAAAAAAGAGCTTTATTTTTTAGCGACCTGTTGCCATAGCGACCCCATGATCGACCAATCAAAATCGATCACGTGAATTACATAATTTTTTTATTAAAAAATTTTTAAATTTTTTTTTAAAAAATTTTTAAGTTTTTTTTTTTTAAAAAAAAAAATACAAAATACATAAAAAAAAACTAACTACAAAACTAACATAATACGAACGTCATTGTGCAACAAAAGATTCATTACGCTTCGATTGTATAAACTTCGTTTAAAAACCCATCCACTTTATCTAAAAAGCAACCCAAACAAAATTCACAAAACAGAAGTATCAATGGCAACGCAAGTTCCAATATCATGAAAAACTAGAGACAAAAATCTAACACGAAAAGTTTAGCGACAAAAGTCTAGCGAAGCATAAAAACCCCAAGAAAGAAAATCAAAGTTAGTAACAAGACAAAAAAAACTAAAGAAAATTAAATATCTTACCCAAAAATGCTGCACGCACGTTTTCTGATGCTGATTCACATCCGGCGAAGCTTAAAAACTAGAAGAAAAAGAAGCCAAGTTAGTAACAAAGATACAAGACAAAAAAAAAAAAAAAAATGAAAGACAAAGAAAATTAAATACCTTACCAAAAAATGTCACATGATGTTTTCCCGGTGCTAATTTATGTCTGGCAAAGCCTAAAAACCCAAAGAAAAAGGAGTGAAGTTAGTAACAATGATAACAAAACAAAAAAAAAACAAAAAAAATGGTAAACAAAGAAGAAAATTAAATACCTTACTCAAAAATTCTGCATGCACATTTTCCCGGTACTGATTCATGTCTGGCAAAGCCTAAGAACCCAAAGAAAGAGGAGCGAAGTTAGTAACAAGGATAACAAGACAAAAAAAAAAAAAGAAAATCAAAGAAGAAAATTAAATACTTTACTCAAAAATTCTGCATGCACGTTTTCCTAGTACTAATTCACGTCCGGCAAAGCCTAAGAACCCGAAGAAAGAGGAGCGAAGTTAGTAACAAGGATAACAAGACAAAAAAAAAACTGAAAAACAAAAAAGAAAATTAAATACCTTACCTAAAAATTTTGTATACACGTTTTCCTGGTGCTAATTCACATCCGGCGAAGCCTAAGAACCCGAAAAAAGAGGAGCAAAGTTAGTAACAAGGATAACAAGACAAAAAAAAACTGAAAATCAAAAAAGAAAATTAAATTCCTTACCCAAAAATTTTGCAGGCACGTTTTGCTGGTGCTGATTCACATCCGGCAAAGCCTAAGAACCCGAAGAAAAAAGAAAATCAAATATCTTACTCAAAAATACTACATACACGTTTTCCCGGTGCTGATTCACATCCGGCTAAGCCTAAGAACTCAAAAAAAGAGGAGCAAAGTTAGTAACAAGGATAACAAGACAAAAAAAAAACTAAAAAACAAAAAAGAAAATTAAATACCTTATCTAAAAATTCTGCATGCATGTTTTCCCGGTGCTTATTCACGTCCGGCGAAGCCTAAGAACCCGAAGAAAGAGGAGCGAAGTTAATAACAAGGATAACAAGACAACAAAAAAACTGAAAATCAAAGAAGAAAATTAAATTCCTTACCCAAAAATTTCGCAAACACGTTTTCTCAGTGCTGATTCATGTCCGGCAAAGCCTAAGAACCCGAAGAAAGAAGAAAATCAAATACCTTACTCAAAAATACCGCATATACATTTTCCCAGTGCTGATTCACATCTAGCGAAGCCTAAGAACCTGAAAAAAGAGGAGCAAAGTTAGTAACAAAGATAACAAGACAAAAAAAAAACTAAAAATCAAAGAAGAAAATTAAATTCCTTATCCAAAAATTTCGCAGGCACATTTTCCCGGTACTAATTCACATCCGGCAAAGCCTAAGAACCCGAAAAAAGAAGAAAATCAAATACTTTACTTAAAAATACTGCATACATGTTTTCCCGGTGCTGATTCACATTCGGTGAAGCCTAAGAACCCAAAGAAAAAGGAGCGAAGTTAGTAACAAGGCTAACAAGACAAAAAAAGAAATTGACAAAGAAAATTAAATATTTTATCAAAAATGCTACATACATATTTTCCTGGTGCTGATTCATGTCTAAGAACCCGAAGAAAGAGAAGCGAAATTGGTAACAAAGATAAGACAAAAAAAAAACAAAAAACAAGAAGAAAATTAAATAACTTACCCGGAAATACCACAGTGCTGATTCACATCCGGCGAAACCTAAAAACCCCCCAAGAAAAAGAAACGAGTTGGTAACAAAGCTAACAATGCTAATAAAGCACAAATAAAAAAAAACTGAAAATGCCACGTACACGGTTGCCCAGTGCTGATTCAGTCTGGTGAAGCTAACAAGAAGGAAAAGATTAGTAAAACAGACAAATTACCAAAAAAAAAATAACAGTAAAAAAAAAAATAATAACATATCTGAAAAGCCACTTAGTATTGATTTACATTCAGAGAAGTCTAAAAATCAAAGAAAAACAGAGTTAGTAGACAAAACAAAAAAAAAAATAATAAAATAATAAAAAAAAAAGCAAAAAAAATCAAATATATTACCTGAAATATTGCTTGTACATTTGCTTGATACTGATTTACTTCCTGACGAAAAAAAAGTATAAAAACAATCTAATCTAAAAAAAAAAAATTGATTTACCTGCCAATCTCAAAAATGATTGGCCAATCATATAAGGGTCGCAGTGCGACAGGTCGCCAATTTATTTTTGCCTATTTTCTAAGTAAAATATTTAATTTTAGATTTGTTTTATAAACTTTGTTAAGAAAATTTTTTTAAAATTACTAATAAACTTTAGTATAATAAAAGTTCAAAGTTTTTGTATTAGAATTTTGTATTAGAATTTTTACTATAAAAATTTTTTTTAACTTTTCTTAACTTTTATATGTTTTTGCCTTTAAAAAAATCTTTACTCTTAAAACAAGTCTTAATTTTTATAAGTAAATTACTAATAGTT